CCGCCATCTTTGATTTGCATCAAACATGCTGAAAACTACACAAGAAAGGCGTGACAAACAGCAAGAATACGAACGGTCTAGGCGTAAACCACGCACATTCCAAATTAGCTGGCAGGCGGAGTTCAAAAACTGGTTACTTTTTGATAACAACAACAAGATGATGTATTGCCGGCCTTGTCGAGGATCGTGCAGCAGAATTGATCCTTGTAGAAGCTGAGGCTGACGCCAATGATTGTGAACACGATGCAAAATGCATGTCAGATTCAGAGTCGGCTAGTGATCATGACAGTGTTTTTTCTGAAGATTTTGATGAGTTTAGTGACGATGAAAGAAATGATGATGACTTCTTTGAGGCTGCAGATAATATATCTGATTAATTAGTAAATAAAGGTTTTGCAATTGCAAGCTTGTATTATTATCCGTTTAGTCTTTGTTTGTTAAATATCAGGGCCTACAGTTAGCTAGAAGGACCTAGAGTTTCAATTTGCCATAGGTTCTTCGGGCCTTTTATGATTTTCAGTTAATTTCGAACACTGGGTACATCCAATATAATCCCACAATATTTTCTCCTACGTTGATGTCTGCAGACACTCATGATGAGCCGCATATAATCATGGAATTATATACACATATATATCACATGTAATTTCCATATTCTGAAAAATCCTAATAGTGGATGTTGAATGTAGAATTATTGTAGAAATAACACTGAATACAAATATATTATTGTGCGCACATTGTATGCTAATATTGTTGGTGCCCTGGTGTTCTTTTTCATGCAAACGTAGTGCATGCACTATCATCTATGTGGTAATTCTGAACGTGATATTTGATTAGGATTTCTTTTTAATTTCAACTGATTTACAGGAGGGTCTGAATAAGCTTGTGAGAATGAAGTACTTAAATTGACTGCTCTATTAGAAGTACTCAATGTTAAAAAAAGTTGTATAATTTTTCTCCACTATTTTTTTGCATCAACATTGCTATAGTATCCCAATAGAGATACATTTCAAAATGGTGGCCAATGAAATGTGGGTTTATTCTTGAGAAACAAATTTGAATACAATCTGATTACTTTCCAAATCCATGATCATTCCTTCTTTACCTGGGTACTGTCTCAACTGATCACTTGCACTTCTAGAGTATGGTAAATATTATATAACATATTAATGCTGGAAACTAAGTCCTCATACTTACATGATTTAAAGCACACATCCTAGCTATAGAACCAATATTATTTGTGATCGTCACTAGTGTTGACCTCGCTAAATCATTTTTAGTTGCCGCATCCCTCTTCTCACTAATATTCATGTGACCAAAGCTAAAAAACAAGGACAATTACATGTAGATTAAAACCTGTAATTATATAAATATTATTTAGGGATATTCAGCGTGACATACACACATTTTGCTGATATATTCTCTTTGTCAATTAACAGCAAACAATTGAATGTGCCATGAGCCGATTACAAAGTTGCAAGAGAATCTCACATTTCTAGAAATGCAAAAGAGCAAGTCTGTGCCACAAACAATTAGTGGTCAGGTTGTTGAAGAGTTTATTTAGTCATTGGGTTTTAGTTTCGCTGATAATTATAGTCTATGTGAAAATGAAAAAGAAATCGTTTAACTAGAAAATCTTTGAACTCACAATAAAGATCAGTCAAATTTAATGCTTTTTACAGTTAGCTTCAGCAATTATTCATTCACTATTGTTAGTACAATGTGTAATTATTTTAATACTTTGTGAATTCCAAGAGACAGTGAAAGCTGTAATATCTAACTGTTATTCTTACATAGGGAGTAAGAAACAGCATGAAATCTAGTCATTGCAAATTAAACAACCTCTATTATTCTTATTCAATACTCTAGAGCATTATTTATCAGGTCTGGCCTTTAAGTGCTTTCAGAATTGCTTCCAGAATTGCAATGTTCATGTCCTGGCATATCATTATATCTTCATTTCATGTCTGAGCCAGATTAATGTAGCATACAGAATCTGACAACACACTTCTAGGACTATGCTTTGAAACAAATTACCAAGTAATAGAAAGAATACACTGGAAATAAACAAAGTACTAGTACATGTACAATATATGCATAGAAATTACACACGATGTGCAGTGAGTGATTAAATGTAAATATCTTGATACTTCATTGGCAGTTTCAATAATAAAGTTATATTATTTGTAAACTGAAGTTCAATGATATTTATCAACCTGTTTTAATATTCAACGCATCTCTACAAATTTTCACAAACACAACATTTTCTGCCATATAGTAGTTAGCCCACATACTTACCTACTAGCTACGGTAGATCCTGGTAAACCAAATCTTGCGTAGTCTCCTCCATAAATGTCTCGTACCAGCTTATCCACTTTAGTACTATCACCGCTGGCAGCCATCTCAATGGCTTCTTCAAATGTCTGACAGCCAGTTAGAAGGCAGCATAGTCCAAGGAATGTACCTCCTCCAAGACTGTAGATGAGAGTCAAATGGCACCAATATTAGTGCAAAGATCTGGACTTGAACTTGGCAATTGAGAGGGCTCCCAATTTAAGGCCAAATTTATAACAATATCCTCACATTATAGGAATAGTATAGAGAATATCAAATTGCACCAAGACAAACTGATGGGCATTGAGGCAATTACCGTCAATGCAGCCACGAAGTTCAAGCCCTGTTAGTTTCCGTTTAATTCATAACCACTGATGAAAAAGTGTGTATGCATATTTATCTATTACCATTACTATTAATCAGATCAATAGGCAAACGACAGATCTAGAAACCCTCGCCATCACAAGAGTAGACTTAAAAGAAAGGACCCACCATCCCATGGAAATGTGCTACTATTTGCAACAAGGATACATGGGGTATTAAACATGCACTTAGGCCAGGAACAGTACATATGATTGGTAGACAACATCTGATGAGATCCATTCTCACTAATTAATAATACACATTTGGTGGTCTGAGTAAAACAAGTTCTACATGTTATAATGTAGAGAAAGCAGTCACCTGTGGGATTGAACTTGCAGCTTAAATATTATGTATGACACAGACTGAGGTATCATACTACATGTAATCTTCTATACTGGTAATATCATAAATGTATGACACAGACTGAGGTATCATACTACATGTAATCTTCTATACTGGTAATATCATAAATGTATGACAAAGACTGAGGTATCATACTACCTGTAATCTTCTATACTGGTAATATTATACATGTATGACACAGACTGAGGTATCATACTACATGTAATCTTCTATACTGGTAATATTATACATGTATGACACAGACTGAGGTATCATACTACATGTAATCTTCTATACTGGTAATATTATACATGTATGACAAAGACTGAGGTATCATACTACATGTAATCTTCTATACTGGTAATATCATAAATGTATGACAAATACTGAGGTATCATACTACATGTAATCTTCTATACTGGTAATATTATAAATGTATGACAAAGACTGAGGTATCATACTACATGTAATCTTCTATACTGGTAATATTATACATGTATGACAAAGACTGAGGTATCATACTACCTGTAATCTTCTATACTGGTAATATTATACATGTATGACACAGACTGAGGTATCATACTGCATGTAATCTTCTATACTGGTAATATTATACATGTATGACAAAGACTGAGGTATCATACTACATGTAATCTTCTATACTGGTAATATCATAAATGTATGACAAAGACTGAGGTATCATACTACCTGTAATCTTCTATACTGGTAATATCATAAATGTATGACACAGACTGAGGTATCATACTACATGTAATCTTCTATACTGGTAATATTATACATGTATGACACAGACTGAGGTATCATACTACATGTAATCTTCTATACTGGTAATATTATACATGTATGACAAAGACTGAGGTATCATACTACATGTAATCTTCTATACTGGTAATATTATACATGTATGACAAAGACTGAGGTATCATACTACATGTAATCCGTTGTACTGGCAATACCATAAAGAGTGTACAATCCACATAGTACACATTACCATGGCAATAAATTTGGACACTGCTGTCTTGTGACAGCTTGCTATTGACAACAGTGTTAGTTGACACTGTGTCAACAATTATTACTATTCAAATTTGAAATGGCACTGCACATAAAAAAATAGTAAAGGTCATTACAAATATCTATAAAATTTTCTCAGAATTGAATCATATTGTAGTTATATCACACAAGCTTTAAGTTGAACTCAGATTCAAGCCTTTATATACAAATAATTCAAATGACAGAAAAATGATATGATAATTTAATCATATAATACACGTGTATACAGTAGTTTTGGTCTGTCCACAACTAGATGTGTGACATTTGATGTCATTTGTTTGTTTGTTTTTTATCTTCTCAATCTAAGGCTGAATCTGAGGCTAACCTTGGATGTCACATGATTCTCACCTTGTCCCACTAACTCTCTGGAATTTATGTCTGGAATGCACAGTAAGTATACTGACTCCGGAACCGATATTGACCACAAGGTACGGATACGGATCACGGAAATCAAATGGTACTTTTTCACAGGCTTCGCTATTGAATGGATCCAGATTGCTCCAATAATAACACTCATTGGGTATCTTACTATCAATGTAGTGGATCCCAGATATAAGACAGTTTAGCTCATCATACTTTTCTAATCTCATATTTACAACCTACAGGGGAAAACACAGTATTAGAAACATTTGCTTTCATTTTAAGATAAACCACTTGTAGCTGAATATGAAGTCTGCATTTTGTAGGTTACAGTGTATACCATACATGTACATCGTTAACAAATATACAAGCGATGATACCAAAACTCCACTAGAAAGTTTATAGTGCATTCATTACTACATTATGAATCAGTTAATCTTAGTGAATTTGAAATAATTTGTATGTGATTCTTCCTTGTGCTTGTAGTGTCACCACCATACTGTTCCGTACACCATTGGCAGGAAAGTTGCTGACTGGTTTGCTAAGCACGTCTTGAGATCGTTACATGATTAGAACAGCTTAGTTCAAACCACTTTTACGAGGGTGTGCCGTTCAGCTAAATGTACTCATTCACAAGAGTTATAACACATACCAAATATACCAGTGACTGTGTCCTGACATTTCATACTTTGTCAGTATATACGTTTTGTTTGTATAACTTATTATATAGAAATTTATATGATTGAATGAAATAAATAGAAATACAATCACATCCTGATCTTCTATTTATATTCAACATGTCCAAATCCCCCACTATTAGTTTGTGGTCTCCTGTTGAAGTAAGTTGGTTTGATCCAATTTGTTCTAATCGTGTAATGATCTCCAGGCGCGCATAGCAAACCAGTCAGCAACTTAGCTGGCATTGTTGCTGTTTTGGTGTTCGGAACACCGTGGCAGTGACAGTAAAACTGTTTCTATTCTAAGACAGGTTACAAAATTTGGGTGATTTCACTTTTTTCAATGCAAAAAGCTCTCACTGCTGGTTACATCTATGACAGGTACTGGTATATAAACAAGTGGTTTAAGAGAATACCAATTAAAACAAAAAATAGATAATATCCAAATAAATAAAGTTTGTATCAAATTGTCTATTTGAAATTGGGTTCTCTGTTGCTTGTTATTTCAGGAACTGGTAGCCTATCTGATTCACTTTGTTTCAAAGCATATTCACAGTAAGTAATGCGTTTGAAACATTTAGTAGAACACAAACGTGGAGGCACAGCTTACATGTACAAATATAGGAAATCTGGCAGTTGTATTTATATTTTGTCTCAAACAGCAGAAAAATTGGCTAAAACACAGAAATGTACATGTATCATGAGATATGTAAATAAAATTGATATTGTAATAAATATAAATACTTACATCTTTAAATTCTTGTTCAAATTTAAAAGCCCCACCCCCTGTAGAACATATCGTGTCTGCCAGGCTGGAAAGTTTCTTGGCCTCCACCATCTGAAGGAATATGTGCATGTCATTTGTTGGAAAACGTATAAAATGTAGATTTCCCACACGTTGATGAATTTCAAATTGTTTAATTGTCAGATGCACATCCCGGATACCAGTTTTCCCATACGCAGTATTGGAAGTTAAATAATGGCGAATAGTGCGTAGCGTTTCCACTTCTTTATACCCTTCCTCCTCCGCTGTGTTAATATCAGTCGGCTCAAAATATACAAGTTTTGTCAGCGTACCTCCAATGTCCAGACCAAACCATGGCATAGCTGTGGAAAGAGCCATGTGAGCATAGTTATTATTAAAACCGCAAGTACAAAGACTATCACAACTGTCCATTGCAGGAAAGAAAGGTATCTCCGACATAAGAAAAAATCCAAACCCAAAATGTATGGTTGAGTTTTAGCAAGTGAATATTGACAGTGAGTATACGTCATCAGGTATTAAGAGAATAGTTCAGGCCACAGCAACATGTGTGCGGTCACAGCTTGAATGTATTTTACATTGAGTAAATAAATAACAGACAAACATTTTAATAATGTTCTAAACTGGTAAAACACACCTAAACCTGCATATTCCAATCAAATTACAATTGTCTGAAGATTCCTGCAAATGTCACCAGTTGAACAATAAAAGAGAAAATCAACGCATTTAAATGACAGCTATAGCATCTTTACATGATTTATTATGCTAATTAACATATTTTAAACATAGTAACAGCAGTGATTACTATAGAAGTATTAATTTTCATTGGTGTTTAATTTAATAAATCAAACAAATTCACTATATTTTAAATTCATAGATTTTCCAGTGAGTTCTATATCAGTTTTTCATTTTCACATGTTAACATGGATTTAATTAGGTTGATTTCACTTACCAGTGAGAAAAGTGAATTTAAAACCAAGTGGAAAATTTTTGTGTTTACTAATTAATTAAGCCATAAATTAGCAGTGAATATTTCACAAGGTTTTCAAGGAAAGCATCACAGTGATATTTGTGTGAAATTAATCATTTACTCAGTTCTTCAGTTCTTAAAAATATTGCCTCAAATTAACATAAACTAAAAAGTACTGTTACACTGTTACATACATTACAGAGGTGTTTCTACAGGCAAAATAAATAATATGCTAATGATACAACAAACAACAGATGTTATTTTGGGTTTATATTCAAGATATGTTTCTAATAAGAGCAAATATAGCAATTAAGTACAAACACACAAAGTAGAACAAGTCATCAAGTCAATGACAAAGTCCTCAAAAAAAAGTTCAATTTTGATTTTTGGATCCGTGCAAGTTAATTATTGGGGTCAATGGTTATTTTTGACCTATTTTATTTACAGAAAAATGACATACTTTGCAACCTTCCTATAACATAAAATATATTATACAACACTTCTACCCACAGTTCAATACTTTGCACATGTGGATTTTATTATCTGCCATATTTTTTGTTATGTAACAAAACACATGATCGCAAGTTTGAGTGATAAACCATGCAGTTTACAGCAGATTGGTGTGATTAAAAGTGAACTCATCCTGCTAATGAATCAGTGTTTAATGATAGGGACATTGATCCTATGTTAAAAATGAAAGGCAGCCTGTCAGAAAGTGAGCCTGTTGTTGAATCCAAGCCAACATGATCATGTGCCTCTCGAGACAGCAGTGGGAGAAAATAAAAAGTGCTGTGTCGCTTGATGTTTTCAGGGATGACAAATATAATGTACATGTATTTGTAAAATATAATAAATTTTGGCCACCAACCATTTTTCTACTTGGCTACTAAATTTTCCAGTTAGCTACACACAATTTGAACTTGGTAGTCAAAAAAAAATTTAACTTGGAGGGTTGTTTTGATTTAAAAAAACACTCTCAATACACTTTGATTGTTAAATTATTTCTATCAATACTTGTAATGTAAATGTATATTACCTAACTTATATGTGAATTTTGAATGAAATTGGTCAATGCATTTTGAGAACAGAAAAAAACATCATTTTTATCCTATTTTTTGACCTAAAATTACACATTTTGATCCTCAAAGACTCTTTATTAGACTTTGATTGGGAAATTGTATTTATCAATATATGTAATGCATTGTGCATTGTCTATATGTGAAGTTTGAATGAAACTGATTACAAACATCATTTTTGACCCAAGGAGACACTTATATGGAACTCAGTTTGAATGAAATGATCAATGCATTGCTGATAATGCACAAAAACATTATTTTAGGAGGATTAAATTATGATAGTGACCTGCAGACCTGGATGCAACCAGGGGCCATCTTTTTTTACTTGCAAGTGATTTAATGTAGATGTACAACATTGGTATACAGCATACTACATGCTATACTTCCGTGTCCACATTTCAGTATTTGTTTTAATAGATTTTGAACAATTCCTGTAGTCATTTTTTGGCTTTATGCTTCCCCTCCCCTCCTAAGGTC